GTATTTATTTATTTAATGAAAACTCTTTTGTTGATTCTGCGAGTTTTGCGCTCCATGTAACTATTCTTCTCCAAAAAAAGCGCTTTAAAAAAAGAAAGAAAAAGGTCACAATCTTGACAGAATTTTCTCCAAGATCAAAATATTTCAATTCAATCAATATTGAGTATTAAATCACGGAGAGAGTCAGCTTTAATGAGCCATTCTAGGGTTTTTTTCTTAATTTAAAGATGTTTAGGTTATAATTTTTAATACATTAAGAAATATTAACAATGGCTTTCGGTTTAGAGCTGTTAGCACCTGTTATGCTGTTTTATTTATAATATAAACCCATATTTTATATCTAAAGTTATGTTTAATCAACAGAGTCATATTGTCTAAAAGATATGCAAACTAAAACTTTACATTATTTATATATTGTTTTAAACAAACTGAACGTGAATTTTATCTTTCTGATCAAAACTGAGTCTGTAATAGCTGAGCAGAAAAAAAAACAAAATAAAACGAGAAGGAGGGGGCGTGGCTAAATGAAACCTGTGTGTTTAGTTTTGCGTCTTTAGACCTCTGAAAAGTTTCTGGCGCAGAGGTTAAAGTTTTGTGGAAGATCAGAACTGTCCTTTCAGCACCAAGAGGCCAGATCTGAGCTGACATGAGCCACAGAGGCAAGACTGGACCAAAATCTATAGAACACAATTCAAAACAAATTGAGTAACATTGGTCAATTTCAATGATAAAAGCTTTGTTTTGTCATGTTTTTATTGCAGGGGCTACTGAGGTTTTGTTTGGTTGTTAAATGGACAAAAATACCCAGAGTTTATTCCTAAAACGTAAGATTTATGTCCATAATAACCAAAATTATAGCAATTTTCTTGCAGCGTTGTCTTTATCCAATGTATGAATGTCAGTTTGCACTTTAAATGAAAACACCGAGCTTTGTTTGGATCCTCTAACTTGAGCTTTCCTTATACATTTACTACTCTCCTATGCTGACTGCCAAGTTACTCCTTTGCCAGAAGTGGATATGTAAAAAATGTCTGTTACAAAGAGAAACAACCACAGAGAAATGAATAAGCTGGAAGGCGAGAGGATGTGTCTTACTGGTATGGAGCCAGAGAATAAAAAAACGGAAGGGGGAGGCAAGGAGGGAAGGAAGGAAGGAAGGAAGGAAGGAAGGAAGGAAGGANGAAGGAAGGAAGGAAGGAAGGAAGGAAGGAAGGAAGGAAGGAAGGAAGGAGAGAATATGAGAGAGCAGAAGAGAGGAAATCAATACCGATTCAGAGTGAGTCAGATAAGCCTGAACAATGTATAGTGCAGACACACTCTATAACCCAGTCACACACGCATGTGCATGTGGAGGCACTCTCTCTCTCTCGCACACACACACACACACACACACACACACACACACACACACACACGCACGCACGCACGCACGCACGCACGCACACATGCACATATGCACATATGCACACTCAGTGAAATGGGCTTCAGGCCTCCATAAAGATGCATTACAAACCCCATAAAGCATACCAACCTTTAAAATCAAATGACATCACAACCTTGGATTGCTTGGAGGATTCGCTGACATGAGCAGAAAGCGCTCATTACTAAGTGTCGATAGGCAGCTAGATGCTCTGATGCCCTTTGTCTACTGGAAGATTCTCTGAGGTTCACATCTTCTGGTGTTTGGCTGAAGAAACCTCAGCCTCCTCGCCCCCATTTCACTCGACATGCTGCAGACGAGCCTTCTTCTGTGGCCTCATAAATATCTTCTGATGTGGGTTTTCAGCAGGGGAAGTCTACACCGTGTCAAGCCAGCACTATTGATATTTCACAGTATGTTTGGAGGGGTGTGTAAACAGTGTTTTTGAAAACCACTTACACTCCCCGTGGTGTTTGGGGAGGAAGGCTGGTGTGTGGACTTTCAGCTGTTAACCACAGATTTGACTTTGCTTACCTACAAGATGCTGTTACAAGCACTCACACCACTCTCTGCCTCCTCTCTTTCTTCCCCTCTTGCTTTCGTCTCCCTTATACTTATCAATTATTAAGGTCGGTATTGATCCTTTCACTACGCTGCCTCTATCTGACTGTTCACACAAAGCCCAAACCTGCCAGCCCTCTCTCAATCAATGGCATCTCCAGGCTCCTGCAGCTTTCTTTTTCCACATGTCAGTTTGGCTTTTCTCACTTTTGCACTTAAGACAGGTTGACTGAAGTTTTGTTACATTCCACTTTGGTGCATTTGGATTCCTTTAAAAATACTGATATCAGTTTTTTATTGCATAATGTGATGGACAGTCTGATAAGAGCAGGCAGAGTATTGCAAAATGTCATTTTGATTTCATGAAACAGCTCTCGCTCATCTTCTCTTTGTCCTCCAGCCTGTTTGTTGCTTTGTTTTTGTTTTTGTTCTGTGGCACCAACCTCCAGCAGCCAAACCAACCCGCCTGCCTGTTGCCAGGTTAACCAGGGAAAGATTAGTGATATTATTGTCATGTGCTGCAGAGAAGCAGAGCACTGGGAGTGAAGGGGGTTGGGATGGGGAAAGAGACTTATTGATCTTCTATGTGCAAAGCCAGGCAAACACTGAAAGGACAGAGCAACACTATTAATGACACTCAAAGCCTCAGCTACTAATCCTCATCTATCTATCTATCTATCTATCTATCTATCTATCTATCTATCTATCTATCTATCTATCTATCTATCTATCTATCTATCTATCTATCTATC